GATTAGCCTTGCAGTAAATATATATAAATAAAGCTGATCTCGAATGCTGTAAATTTTGGGTCTGAGACTCCTATATAGCATGTAATTATACGAGTCAAAATCTATGGGAGACATCGCTTGCTGTCAGAAATGCAAAAATCATCAAAAACCTCTTAAATGTGCCAGAAAGATAAATAAATACATTGTTGAAAAGTAGCATGAAGTTTTAAATAGTGGGAATAAAAATAGAGTGACAATAGCTTGAAATAGATGTGAATACAAATACCTAACAATGCGTACCAATATTAGAAGAAAATAGTGACTTGAACACAGGAAAATACACAGAAAAGCTATATACATTGGAACTGTTTACCAAAACAATATCCAAACACTGTCGATATGGCAGGCAACATTGAGGTATAAAATAATTTATTAAAACAGTAAAAGCAAACTCAATTACACACTCACACAAAGAAATACCACTAGCAAAAGTGAAACATGTTACAGTACAAAATTCAAATTATGCTGATGTCTTAGGTGGTACATAACCTCTTATGGGCAGCAGAAGAGAAAAAAATAGATATTGCCAAAATAATATCCACAGAGTAAGGGTTCAGGAGCTCATAAAAAAATACAACATGGATAATTTTGCCATTGAAATAAGATTAACAATTCAAGGCATATTCATCAAAAGTAACACAATACAAACAACCATGTTAAACAGAAAGCACACTTGCAATTGGAAAATTTCTAGGTGTCTTTAAAATTTCCATCACCTGCCAGCAATGCCCAGCATACTATACTATTCATAGTGAAACCTCTTTAGTCCTTAACTTTGTTATAAAATATGGTGAAGTGCTGATTAATACCATTCATGAAGTGGCCAAATATAGGTTCAACAGAGTTAAAAAATCAAATTACAGAATTGAACTGGCTGAGTGCAATATCTGTGGGCAAAAAGTCATACATTTGTTCACAACTCTGTTGTATTCACTTTCCAGCTTTTCCACTTCAGACTTGTCAGCTGTCTTTTCTAACCCCAGACCCTCCAAATTGCAAAAATAGTTACCAGTATGTAACCAAATTGTGTTGTCCATAACACAGTGATATGTAAAATCGTGTTTGAACAATCAGTTTGATATTTTCAGTACTTGGAGACGGAAGAAGTCGTTAGAAGGTGTCACGGATTTTATTATCCGTGTGTTTTAATTTAGTTTGTCTTTTTGTATTTGTCTATATGCTTTTTGAGGACCCTTGGTTTGGATATACTTCATCCGGGTCCGGTTGCTGTGGGACTCCGATCACCATCGAGTCGTGAGAAAAAAGATCTTTCCGCCTCTTTTCCGGCTGCCGCGCTGGCGGGCGGACGTATTTTCCTGTGTTTTTATGCTGTTTTAACTGTGAAGTTGCCTCATAATAAACCACAAATCCGGAATCTGAGTCTTCTGATTCAATACACACGGTAGCAAACATCTTGAAACCGTGATAATGGCGAGCACGCCAGGATAAAAACAAGAACCGTGATAATGGCGAGCACTGCGGCGGATTTGGCGGAATAACTGACGGCAACTTCGAAGGTTCGGACGATCGGGAAAATGAAACAAATTCCAGCATGGACGAAGAGTTTACCGGAAACATTATAAACTTGGCGACTTCGGGAACGGTGTCTCAGGCAAAACATACATTTTTGGTGGGCTGAGTGAGCCTTGGTGTAACGATGGATGTCCCGACATGTTTGCGGTGGTTGGAGCTGGCTGTGATTTTTTTGACCGGTTTTGGACTTGGGGATTGGTGTGTTGCCTGCAGTGATGGAGTCCTGGGCCGTTGTAATCCCAATGTGTGTGGTCAACGTGAACCAGAAACCGGTGCATGTCGAGGCGGGTACTTTAGTGGGAATAGTTTGCCCAAGGGGGGAAGTTTATCAAATTGCTGAAATGTCTAACTCTGATCCTGAAGTGGGGGAAAGTTTGCCTGAGCACCTCGAGCCGTTGTTGTCCGAACTGGAACATTTGAATGAAGATGAAAAAACCAGTTTCGGTCATTGCTAATCAATTACCAAGACATCTTTGCCAAGCCTGTCAAGCGGAATCCATATCGAATAGGATTTGAAGAGCAATTTCGTTCATGACTATTTTTTATTGTATCATCTTGTTTAAGCAATTTGGCTATGTAAAAGATATTTTGAAAAGGGAAGGGGTACATAATCTTTAAAAAATTTGGTTGTTTTGTGTTTTTTTTAATTCGATTTTGAGAATGAAACTTGTGGAGTTTCATCCTAAACAAGGGAGGGATTCTGTCACGGATTTTATAATCCGTGTGTTTTAATTTAGTTTGTCTCTTTGTATTTGCCTATATGCTTTTTGAGGACCCTTGGTTTGGATATACTTCATCCGGGTCCGGTTGCTGTGGGACTCCGATCACCATCAAGTCGTGAGAAAAAAGAGCTTCCCGCCTCCTTTCCGGCTGCCGCGCTGGCGGGCGGACGTGTTTTCCTGTGTTTTTATGCTGTTTTAACTGTGAAGTTGCCTCATAATAAACCACAAATCCGGAATCTGAGTCTTCTGATTCTTTCAACACACAGAATAAAAACCTATCTGTGACAAAGGCTACTCCTTTTATTTTTTCTTTAAAATCTACACGGCCTGATTATGCGGAATCAGCGGAAGGTGCGCAATTTTTAATTTTAATGATGTCATCGCACACAAAACAAGAGAGCTACGCCCAAATATATGGACACATCTGTTCGAAGTACGGTTTACCGTACCGTCGATCAGGGTAAGGAAAAAATCGTAGCAAAGTACCGTAAGGACTTCGTTACGAACCATCGATGTCACGTGATCAAAAAAAGAGGAGTGTCGGCTATGCGTCCGCAGAACGTTCGGTGACGTCATAACAAACAAAAACAAATCTTACCGAGCTAACAGAAATATCTGAAATAAATAAAAGTAATAGCCTTCTGGAGAAAAATTTCATCTTTAACCGGTAAAAATTTCGAAGCAATCGGTCCAGTAATGAAAGAGAAAAGCGGTTTTTAGATTTTCCACTAGATGTCCAAAAAGTGTCAATGAACAACAACAAGACCAACATAATATTGAAACGATCGTTATGTCCACTACGTGTCCAAAAACGAATACCAGCATAGAGCTCACAAAAATTTTTTGAAACTAATAAAAGTAATAGCCTTTTTGCGACAAGTAGCGATTTTTATTCAAAAATACATGATATCGATTCAGAGATGTCAATATACCTGAATTAGAATGTACGACCTGTTTTAATTTCAACGAGGAAGGCACAAGCCATGGTTAATCGATCAAAAATCTCAACCACCAGTCGCTCTTAGTTTCATCCAATAAGAAAAACAAATAAGGTTCGATACTTCACTGTGTGTTTCATACTCGTCATGACACACAAAATATCCAGGTTGACTCAATATACATTAAAATATCCAGCGCAGCGGGAAATACACACCACCATGATCAAGACCATTTGTTTATATACCTTGGTTTATTCATCACGATGACACATCACTTCAGCGTCCGAACGTACATTTGCAAAAGCGATTATTTATTTCATAACGCATATGCCCATAATGTTTAAGTTGCTGGTGTTACAGTCTTATTCAGTTTATCCGAGTAATGAATTCGATATGTTCAACCAGACAGTACTTCGAGCGAAAAATCACTCTCAGCCCTTGGCAAATGAAAGTACTGCCGCTTTATGGATTCTGTACCGAGTGGATTGCAGTAATCTTATCATGGTTACTTATTTATATGGAGTAAAATTCGAAAAGATCCACACAAAGGGTGGATGTGGGTATATATGAAAACTATACTCTTAAAAAATGATTTGGAGTCTTTTCATGTCAGCTTTCATCCTTTCGATAATCAAAATAAGTGTGGAAATTACAGAAAATGTTTTCGCATTTACGAATGATAGCGTGTGTAACACCGCGAGAGCACTGAAGGTGGTGTTGTCTGCGCTATGTGTTTGTCCGATATAGGCTACTTTATTCTATGGATACGACAGCGGATATTTTAACGCTGCAGTCAAGATTGCGAGTTCTATTTCTATATTCTTGATGGGCCTGAGCGGAGTGTTGCCAAGTATTATATATTTGTCAACAAGGAGATATATGAGCACTGACGTCGGATGCAAAAAATCATATTCCATAATAAATTCGAAAGTACAGGGATATTTGGGATTGGCTCTGTCAATATCTTTTCAGTCACTGCTGGTTGGTTTGTTTCTCTATCCTCTTGTAGTACACAGAAAAACTTCAGCTCAACTAAACACTGATACTTCGCGTCAGCTCCCTTTGCAAGCTTCAGTAAACACAATGAATGAATATTATTATACAATGAACATTATAGTATATGACACTAAGCGAAGAAAATGCCCATGGTGCTGCATACAAGTACTCATGATTTTGGAGTAACTTCTTTGTAAACGTGTTGTTGCGCAGATGTATTTATTTACAGAGGCGCAACATCGTGGGCATTTAATCAAAGCAGTGCATCGCCATCGCAACTTTTTCATATTACCACAAACTTTTTAGGCGCTGTTGCTTTGAAACAAAAGCTACGAACTGACTGGGAGTCTTGATTTCGACCCCAAAATAAAGCAAATTTTCACCAAACTCATTGGAGGCTTTATTATGTGGGAAATGAAGACTCTGTCTTAATCGGAAGTTACTTAATCGTATCTCGATTCCGAGATGTCTACAAGAACCTATCAAGTCCGGATGACTTTTTGAAGCAATTTCTATAACATTTCCCACACGATTATTTTACTATAATTGGCTTTTACTTGACAAATCTCTCCTTATTGGAAGAAGGTATATAATATTTGTATCACGCGGGTTCGGTTGAATGAGGACTAACTTACTCGAATGCAAGAACCATAATATTTCTTTTGTTAGGATGAGATTAATCCGTACTCCCGTAGTATGTGTACCAGATTACGGTTATTTTGTTCCCATTTTCCATATTTCAGTTCTGTTACGAGTTCGGGGACTGTTTGTGTTAGCCAAGTGAATATACACCATGCCCACAAGCTTCCGTCCCTTTACACAACTCGATGTAAAGTATGGAAATATAAATTCCAACCTTTTTATTAATTGGACTTTTAATCCAAACTGATGTAGAAATCCAGTCATCCGGTATTTTCGAACGAATATTTTTCACAACGCTGTTGTAAGTAATTTCGTCGGGTATTTGAGCGACGCTTGAATTTTTATCCTGGCAAATCGATACCGCTCGAGAATATGGTACTGTTTCCAAGTAAACTACTGTGATGTAGCAACGTCTTTCAATGAGCAAATCGCATTCTGCATGGTAGAGAAAATATAATATCATTGTGGAAAAGGAAAAGAGGATGTCACTTATTAGAATTAAAAAATAGATTACCTCCTATTTCCGTGTCATAAAATATTGTTTTTCGGTAATTTTCCATTGTCAAGTTCCTAAGCAACTTCATAGTAATGGTTTGAATTTCTGAAAATGGAAATACATTTATTTCATTCAATGCTATGCTGACACTCCTAACTTCAGCTCTTTTAAGAATTATATTTAGTTTTGATGTCATTATTTCCAAAATGATTGGTTAATTTGTTTCAAAAGTTTTTATAACTAACAAGAGGGCTATGCTCAAATATATGCCCACGAGGTCCATAACGAAATGTGTTTTACCATCATTTCCCCGAAAATCATACGGTTTTCATGTCCTACCTGTCCCATGGTAAATACAAATGTGTGCTGTCCCATCCCATGGACAAGCCTGACTATTCGAATACAAGGCTAAACGAAAACCATACCCGATAGCATCGAACCAATAGTCAGTCGCATGCTTACTATCTGGCTGGAGAGAATCAATGTTCATCTAATGAGGGGTTTGATCTAATAATCTCTCGGTTGTCTCATTCAAAATGATTGTATTTACTTCCATCTTTCATGCATAAATTATACAAATACAGACATTGATAAATTGACAATGGGCGAGCTTAAAGATCATTTCCAACATGCTTTATTACCCAAAGGGCGGGATACTAAAGGCCTATAAAACCATGAACTATAAAATAAAAATAAATGAATCATTCAAAACTGTAGTAAAAGATTTGAATAGATACGCAGAGATAGATTTTTGTTATTCAAGCGAGAAACTGTAAGAACGAGTAGTCGGTCAATCAGACAGTCCGGAATATTAAGCGAACATAGCTGCAATAAAATATGGCGGGATTTAACTGTACTGTACAAATTACGATGGTGAAAACAAAATGGCGGTGATGGTTTTAAGCTCAACTCAAATTTAATCCAACTGTTAAATCTGAGGTTGAAGCATTTGACTAATCTACAGCAACTTCTATGGATTTGTGAGATATGTATATTTATAGGTATTTGTAATAAACATTTCATTTTTTCATATTTCATAAAACAAATTTAAATTTATCATACTGGGACGTGGTGACAATAAATTCCACACAATGGCGCCTACGAAATGACCCGCATATTATGCAAGACTCTATTGTTCCCATTTCTTTTGTCGCATACAATTTATGATTATCAACTCGAGTGTAACAAGGAATCTATACACATGTCATTCATTGTTTACCTTTTTAGAACCTAATCTTTTTGTGTCCATGGTCCCACCCAACGTTGGTTTTTGGCAAGTTCATGTCTCAAACAAATTTTTACTTGTTTTGTACAATCTATTGTAAAAACACACAAATATGCGATTTATACCCTATTACTATCCCTTCACACCAGAACCTGGGACATGAACGTGTCATAAACTGACTATTGTACATATCGCCGTGTTGCCGTACCTCTTTGTCCTGTGTCTTGTACAAGAGTTTTATTTGTATATTTCATGTCTGTTGTCCTACTCTTTGTCCTCTTTGTCCTGTGAATTGTACAAGAGTTTTATTTGTATATTTCATGTCTGTTGTCCTACTATAACGCAGCAGTTCTAAACTGCAGTTATACATGTTGGGATTCACGTCGCACATGTGTGTCCTAGGTCAGTAAGGTCTTGAACATGTATCTCGTCTTTGTTATACCGTTTAATTATTATGCAGATACTGTTAAATAAACATACCTACATACATAGCATCAGCAATGATTTAACAAACGTCTTCTAGAGTTGTAAATATTAAAAACAGTTGTATTTGCGGAAAACTACTTTTATTGCATTACCTGTGCGAGAAGATGATATGTTGCATAATAAGCTTAGAAAATATATTAATAACATAAAATAAAAAAAGTCGCTACCACGTACCATTTGTGACAATATTTTTTTCAATATGAATGACCGAAAAATTATTGAAAACTAGATACAAAAAATAGCAAACATATATAAGTTATGTTTCTTCATTTCAACACTACACGTTTATATCCTTTTTTAAAATGTATAATAAATAATGTATATAAAATAGTTTTCTGAACTGCAAAAAAGATTAAGCATGCCCATTTTGAGTTTGTAAGAAACAAGTGGAAGCACTTTGTTCGATCATCGTAATGTCATGCGCAAACACAATATTTGAAACGGTATCATTTACCCACAATGTTACATACAAACAGCATGTAAGCTATTCGTCATAGCTTCTGTCTTTTTGCCTGAATGAAATAGAATTTTCAATAACAGAAAGCAATGAAAATATTTATTTGATTACCAGTTTTTTAATTGTTTACGAAATAACTATGTTGATATCATCTTACTGGATGAAAATAAATCAATTCTAAATGACAATTTTCCAAATAAATTTATGTTCCTGAGTGATTCAAGAGTCTTGCTGCACACTAACACAAATATATTTCTGTAACGTTTCGTCTGACCAAGGTCAGACTTCTTTAGACACTAATTTCAACTCTAACAAGAAAAGCTGCATGCATGTAACTGCTTTTCTTGTTAGAGTTGAACTATGTATGTCTGAAGAAGTCTGACCATGATCAGTCGAAACGTTACAGAAATATATTTGTGTTAGTGTGCAGCAAGACTCTTGAATCACTTAGGATTGTTATCTCTACCCTTGCTACAGCATCCTTGCAATATATGCATACGGATCCACCGGCACAAAAGAATAGAAGAAGGATAAGTAGTTAGTCTCGCAGAAAACCAAATAATCAGCGGAAATATATGTTCTCTTTGATTTTTGCTGTTTACCAACGGATTTACTAGAATTTAAGCGATGTTTTTCGATTTGCGCTGGATATTTCAAACCCCCACAAATGATCTAATAGACCAAGTGTCGGTTTGACTTTTCAATTTGATACGCATGTGACAGTTTAAATATTTTGTGAATATTGGTAACCCAAACTTGCCGCCAATTTCCTCACTACCCGCCTCATCTGTTTAATACATTACGATAGGGCAATATTAATAAATGTTCTAAGCTTCTACTGTCGTCTGTATTCATCTGAGCTAGATTATACAGTTGTAATGACGCCTTAGCAAATATATACTATGAGATTTAATTTAGTCTTCTTTATTCTCATAACACAGTTTCATCGTCTACAAATTGGCCATATAATAAGATTGCATGACGAAAAACAACCCAGTAAAATATTTTACCAAGTTCAAAAAAATGTAAATTCCGAAAGTTATATAAAGTAAAGTCATAAAAAAGCATATATATTGTAAAACGAAACCAAAAATACCTGTCGTAGCTTTCTATTACAATTATTTTGAAGCCGAGAAACCCAGGACATTTTACGCGCGATCGAATGCAAAGTTACCACAAATATTTACAAAAGATCTTATAATGTTTTAAAAATATAACGCACCGATTACTGACATAGCATATTGTATTCAATAAGCCCAAAATACATGTCGTTGCCATTCTTACAAGATGTCCATTCTCACAACGTAAACCAACGCGTGATTAAACGTTGCTCAACACCTTATTAACCTATCTTTCGAGTCACAAATAAATCCCCAAAACCTAAGATTTCAAGCTCGCTTCCGCAGTGAATTTAAATTTCGGACGAGTATGTACGATGATTTGTCGAGATGCTATGGTTATTGAGTCACATTCGTCATTTATTCTAGACATGTTCTTGATTTTGTGGCCGCTTGACTGATATTATATATGCCAAAATAATTTTTATAACAGTAATCTTGTTTAAGAGTGTGTATGTGCTTAAGCGAATATTTATTATTATATTTGATCCGTTCATTTCAATACAGCGTTCTACAGAGAAAGATTGTCGCGTTAATGACAGGCCGCGAGGTATCGCTGAAGGACAGGGATTTGTTGGTATAAATCAAGTTTAGTTTACCTGTTTTGTTTAACATGGCTGTATTACATGTTTCTTTTGCATTGAATAGGTTAAAAACTAAATTAAAAATGAATGTAAAAACATCTAAATTTGATTGTCCCACTAGTTGTTATTGAAGTTTTTTACAAAATAGTTATTTATTTAACCGCAGTCTGTTGAATCAGATTTTATCAGATGGATGTCGAAACTAGAGTGTCCATATCCGAATACTGGACTATTCAAGAATCACAATGAAAAAACAATTCGAACATGGTTTAAATTAACAGAGTCCAAGTAATGCTGCGAGTATGTGTAAAAAATCACTTTATATCTGATCATATGTGATTGGTAAAAAAATGCATGGTACAAAGACCGTCGAATTGCGCTGATGCACATTGCTGAAATAATATGCATCATCCCGGAAACAAGTTATTTCTCAAAAATTACATGAAAACAATAAAATATTACATAAATATATCATCTCCCCTCCCATTTTTAGAGTTTTCGGGAGATCGAAAAAGTCGCTAATAAAGGCGTGCGATTTTACGGACTAATTTTGTTAAGTTCGCCGATTGGTTCCTTCGGCGTTTAGGTGTTTATTTAGGGTACATCGGTATCAAGGAAAGACTATGATATAGTTTCCAATGGCTATCAATCAAGTTAAGGTATTCATCGCGTCTATTTTGTTTTATCTGTTCCGGGCTCATAAATCCTAGTGTCTTCGTTTATTTTTGGTATTGTAACGTCGAATTGCAGTCGTAGTATACACTACCTTATGTTCAGACGGAAATCAAGTTTTAGATTCACTCCATCCATGCGAGAAAAATGAATTATCGGCGTTCTCGTGGCATCAGACATCTCGTGTCGTAGGTCGTCTCAACAAAATTAATATGGAAAGACATTTCAAATACTGATGTCGGTCATGAATTGAATAATTTGCGCAACAGAAACATCATTACCCGCTGAAAAAATCGGCTGTTTTAAGGAATGACGTTTTTGCGGCGACTATTTCAGAAGTCGATGTTTGGGAATTTCCGATTATAAACTATGCAACGCGACTTAATTAACGAAAAAAACGAGCGGCCGCCGTCACAAGTTCTGCGCACTTTCTGAATCCCGATCAACCGAAATTGGAAAACACTATTCGAATACAAGGCTAAACGAAAACGGAAACGATAATGACATCCCTAGTCGAAACGCATGAAAAAGACATAGCAATTGTTCCGTTATAATGAATTATG